CTAGTTTTGGACTCGCCCACCTCAGGAATAAGGCCAAGACTATTCACCCTGTTCATGCCCCTCATGATTTTATAAACGTCTATAAGGTCACCCCTCAGCTTCTGACACTCCAGTGAAAATAGCCCCAGCCTATTCAGCCTCTCCCTGTAGCTCAAACCCTCCAACCCTGGCAATATCCTTGTACATCTTTTCTGAACCCTTTCAAGTTTCACAACATCCTTCCTTTAGCAGGGAGAACGGAATTGAATGCAGTATTCCAAAAGTGGCCTTCCCAACTATTTTTGTGTCATCCACAAACTTGGCTAATATATATTCACTTCCATCATAAATGTTATTGATGTATATAGGCCCCAGCACAGATTCCTGTGGAATTCCGCTGGTTGCAGGTTGCCATCCTGAAATAGCCTCATTTGTCCCAACCCTCTGTATTCTATTTGTCAGCCAATCCTCTATCCATGTGAATCTACTACCCTCAGCACCACATGATCTCACCATATTAAGTAGCCTAATGTGGGTACCTTTTGTAAACCCAAATAAATCTATGAAAGATCCATCTAAAGATTCCCTTTTATCTATCCTGCCTGTTACCCCCTCAAAAAATTGGAATGAGTTTGTCAGGCACAATATCCCTTTCACGAAGCCCTGCTGACTCTGTTTGATTTTGTTATATATTTGTAACTGCTCTGTCATTTCATCCTTTATAATAGACTCTAGCATTTTCCCAATGATAGATCTTGAACTAACTGCGGTGGAGGGTCTAGGCCCGAAACGTCAGCCTCTCTGCTCCTATGATGCTGCTTGGCCTGCTGTGTTCATCCAGCCCTGCACCTTGTTGTCTCGGATTCTCCAGCATCTGCAGTTCCTACTATCTCTGGCCCAACAGTTGCCTGTTTTTATCAACCTGTCTTTTTGAATAAAGGTGTTATATTGGCAGTTTGCTAATCCTCAGGGACTTTTCCTGAATCTAAAGATTCCTGAAAGTTTACGACCTGCACGTCCACTACTTAGAGTTACAGCCATAGAGTCATACAGCATGGAGACAGACCCTTCGGTCCAACCAGTCCATGCTGACCATTTTTCGAAACTAAACTAGTCCCACCTGCCCATGCTCAGCCCATATCCCTCCAAACGTTTCCTACTCATGTACTTATCTAAATGTCTTTTAAACATTGTAACTGTACCCACATCCAACACTTCCTCCAGAAGTTCATTTCACACACGAAACACTCTCTGTGTAAAAACATTTCCCCTCATGTTTTATTTAAATCTTTCTCCTTTCACCTTAAAATTATGCCCCCTAGTCTTGAAATTTCCCATCCTAGGTAAAACACAACTACCATTCACCTTATCTGTACACCTCATGATTTTACAAACCTCTATAAGGTCACCCCCTCAACCTCCTACACTCCAGTGAAAAAAATCCCAGCCTATCCAGCTTCTCCTGATAATTCAAACCCTCCAATCCCAGCAACATCCTGGAATAACTCTTCCAAACCCTCTCCAGCTTAATAATATCCTTCCTATAACAGGGGGACCAGAACTGGACACAGTACTCCAGAAGAGGCCTCACCAACGTCCTGTACAACCTCAATATAATGTCCCAACTCCTATACTCAAAGGTCTGAGCAATGAAGGCAAGCGTGCCAAACGCCTTTTTAACCACCCTGTCTGTATGTGACACAAACTTCAAAGAATTATACACCTGTGTCCTACGTCTCCCCTGTTGTACAGCCCAAGACTGTAGCTACTTTCTTTAAAATCCTAGGATGCGATTAGTCCTATCAGTTTCATTTGTGACAGTTCTTATATTTTTTTCCCAACCCACTTTAGCTCCTTGATTAAGAGATAACAAGGTGTAGAGCTAGATGAACACAACAGGCCAAGCAACATCAGAGGAGCAGGAAAGCTAATGTTTCGGGCCTAGACCCTTCTTCAGAAATGATTTCTGAGGAAGGGTCGAGGCTCAAAACGTCAGGCTCCTCTGATGCTGCTTGGCCTGCTGTGTTCATCTCTACACCTTGTTATCGCAGATTCTCCAGCATCTGCAGTTCCTACTATCTCTTAGCTCCTTGATTAATTGCATTCCAAAAATCTTAAATAATGTTCCCTACCATGCAGACTAATACTAAGTATTTTGTCAACTCCTGTGCCATTTCCTATTATTATTCCCCCATCCTCATTCTCCAAGAGGCCTATGTTAACTTTGACCTCTCTTTTCCATTTTATGTATTTAAATAAGCTCTTGCTGTTCAATTTTGTATTTGTCCTTGGTTTGTTTTCACTCTTTTTATTTTGCTCCATCTTTCGTAAGCTTTCAAAACTTTCCCAATCCTCCTGGTTTACCATTAATCTTTGCCACATTGTATGTCTCACTGTTTCAATTTGATACAATCCTGAACTTCCTTGTTTAACCATGGTTCGGTATATACCATTTCCAGAAGCCGCCTTCCTCACTGAGATATATCTTTGTTGCAAGTCATGAGCTATTTTCATAAACATATGTCATTGTTCTTCAGCCGCCTTTTCTGTTATACTCTTTTCCTGGTCCACTCTAACAAATTCAGCCCTCATCTCTATGTAATTATCCTGATTTACGTTTGGACATGGTTGTTTCTGACCCAAGCTTTTGGCCCTCAAACGGAATGCTAAATTCGACTATGTTATGGTCACTCTTCCCTAGGAAACCTCTTATTCTAAGATCATTTAGTAAACCTGCCAGATTAAAATTTACTAGATCAAAAATAGGTTGTTCCCTGTCAGAAGGGTCAGCCTTCCTGCTCCTATGATGCTGCTTGACCTGCTGTGTTCATCCAGCTCTACACCTTGTTCCCTGTCTGGATCCTGTATATAGTTCCAGGAAACTGTTCTGAATACGCTTGATATATTCTTCCTCAAGGCTACGTTTGCCAGTTTGATTTTCCAAATCTAAATGAAGATTAAAGTCACCCATGATTAATATACAGCTCTGACACATACCCTCATTATCTCCTGATTTATTCTCTATCCTACACAACAGCTGCTGTGAGGGGTCTGTAGAATACAACCGCCAGTGTCTTCCCCTTGTTATGTGCTATCTCCACCCATTTGGATTCTGCTTCATCAGTGCAGTCTTCCCTCAATAATAATGACTTGGAGGAAGGAAGTGAATGTATTGTCGCTAAATTTGGAGATAACTCAAAAGTAGTTGGCAAGGCAAGTTGCACGAGGGATAAAGAAAAGTTTTACAGAGGTAATGACAGATTAAATAAGTGGGCAGAAAGTTGGCATGTGGAGCATAATTTGAGGTTGTTCAATTTGGAAGGGAAAAGAAAAGAACTATTATTTGAATGAAGAAAAAATGACAGGAAGCAGCAACAGAAAGGGACTTGGGGACACTTGTGCATGAAGTACAGAAAGCTGACACACAGGGGCAGCAGGTAATCAGGAAGGGCTAATGGAATGTTGACCTTTATTTCAAGGGGGTTAGAGTATAAGTACGTGGAAATCTCAGTGCACCTGTACAAGGTGCTGGTGAGGCCACATCTGGAGAAATGTGAGCAGTTTTTGTCCCCTTATTTAATGAAATATATCATTTCATTGGAGGCAGTTTAGAGAAGGTTCACCAGGATGATCACTGGTATGGGAGGGACTGTCTTATGAGCAAAGGTTAAACAGGTTGGGACATTACTCACTGGAGTTTAGAAGAATGAGAGGTGATATCATTGAAACATACAGAATTATTAAAGGGACTTGACAGGGTCAAAACTGAGATGATGGTTCCCCTCATGAGAGAGTCTGGGATCAGAGGGCATAGTCTCAGAATAAAGGGGCACCAATTTAAGACTGAGATGAGGAGGAATTTCTCCTCTAAGAGGGTTGTGAGCCTTTGGAACTCCTTGCCACACAGACCTGCGGAGGCAGAGTTCTTGTGTATATTGAAAGCTGGGATAGATAGATTCTTGATGGATCGGGGAATCAAAGGTTACAGTGAAATGGCAGCAAAATGGACATGCGGAATGTCAGATCAGCCATGATCCCACTGATTGTGGAACAGGCTCGAGGGGCCGAGCAGGCTAATCTTCTTAATTCATATGGTCTTGTACTGCAGACAGTTCACTCCCCCTCACTGCAGCCCCTCCAATAATTCTACATTTCCTCAATACTGCCCTTCTGAACAAGCAGTAATACATCACTGTGGACTCTCAAACAATGCAGCACTCCCTCAAAACAAACCCTCGAAAAATGCAGTGCTTCCACAGTACTGACCCTCCGACCTTGCGGCGCTCCCTCAGCACTGTACAGAGTATATCCTGGTGTGACTTCCAGGTAGAAATGCCACCACTACACCACACTAAACAGGAGCTCTGCCACAACGTCTTACCTTTCAACGTAAGTACTGACTTTTACTTTTGAGCCCTGGTTTCAATGAGGTGAAGTGATTATAACTGCTGCCTGATGGAGAAATGGCCTGTTTAGGAGCTGTTTTCTCAGCCTGTGTAGGTCATTGCCCTGGAGAGATATTCCAGCCTTGCCAGGGCACAGGGAATGAGTAGTTGGCATTGACAGGTGGCATCAGTGTCCTGGGGAATATGTTTGGCCAGATGGCACTCTATAGTCACAAGAGCCAAGTGTTACTCTCCCTGCACTCCATGAGATGGGCAGAACGAGAATATTACAGGGTGGGAGAGCAGGAGAGTAACCCTGCAGATTCCTGATCAGAATTCTGAACAAGAGTATCAGAGAGTAAGAGAGAGCAAGATTTACAGTGATACAGAACAGAGAAAATTTGAAAATTTCACATCACTCTGATAGCACAGCAATCCCAGGGATCAAAGGCCATTGTATTGGGGTAACCCAGCCTCCCATCTGGATGTGCCTACACTCAGCTCTCTGCCCACTCCTACACCACTCCCTCCGGTACCTACCCCAATGTATCATTGGGAGACCCTCAGAGAGAAAACTGAGAGATATAAGGAGGGAGACAGGGAATACTAACACATATATATCTTTTCCATTTGAAGGTCAGAGGGAAGTGAATATTAAAACTCCATATTTCCGTGTGAACGGGACCGTGGGACACTCAGCCTGGTTACTTGTGGAAATAGACCCGATCCCAAAGGATGCAGAAATCACATGGAAGTTCAATGTAAAACCTCGCTCGACATCCATTGCTCGATTTGATATCAGTCAGAATAATTTAAAGATATTTCCACACACTGAGTTTGAAGGAAGAATTACACTGCACCAGAATCTCACCCTCCAGATAAACAACCTGAGGATCACTGATGGAGGGACTTACACAGTTAGTGTAACAGCAGGACAAGATTATACAGGAGAGATTTCTCTCCAGGTTTATGGTGAGTCTATTCAATACAACCTGGGTGGGGCCCTGTGTCCCTGTCCCTCAGAGAGGGGGCACTGTATCCCTGTCCCTCAGTGAGGGGGAGTCTCTCCGAGCCCCTGTCCCTCAGTGAG